TGAACCCCCGTCTCTACTATAAATACAAAAATTAGCAAGGCATGGTGGTGTGCGCCTGTAGTCCCAGCTACTCGGGAGGCTGAGGCAGGAGAATTGCTTGAACCCAGGAGGCGGAGGTTGCGGTGAGCCGAGATCACACCATTGCACTCTAGCCTGGGTAACAAGAGGGAAACTCCATCTCAAAAAAAAAAAAAAGAAAAAGAAATTGAAGATGGAAAATAAATGAATGGTTAGATATATTGTGTTCATGGATTGAAAGAATTATATTGCTACAATGTCAATGCTACTCTAACAGATCTGTAGAGTCAACATAATCCCTATCAAAGTTCCAATGTCATTTTTCACAGAAATAAAAGAAATAATCCTAAAATCTGTATGGAACCACAAAACATCCTGAAGAGCTAAAACCATCTTGAGCAAGAAGAACAAAGCTGGAGACTTCCTGACTTCAAATTATATTAAAAAACTACAGTAATTGAAATAGTATAGTACTGGCAAAAACACAGATACACAGACCAATGGAAAAGAATAGAGAGCCCAGAAATAAACCCATGCATATACTGATCTTTGATAAGGCAGCAAGAATACCTGCTAAGGAAAAGATAGTCTCTTCACTAAATGGTGTTGGGAAAGCTGTCTATCCATATGCAGAAGAATGAAATCCAAACCTCCTCTTGCACCATAGATAAAAATCAACTTAAAATGGATTAAAGACTTAAATGTAACTTCAGAATTATAAAACTGTAAAAGCAGTAAATCTTTAAAACTAAAATACACACATACACACATATACGCACATATTGAAATATTGTTCAGCCTTAAAAAAGAAGGAAATCCTTCCCTTTGCAACAACATGAATAAACCTGGAAGGCATTATGTTAAGTGAAATAAGCCAGACATAGAAAGACAAATATCACACAACCTCACTGATACGTGAAATCTGAAAAGTTGAACTCATAGAAATAGAGAGTAATTAAGAGTGGTTACCAGGAGCTGGGGAATGGGGGGAGATGTCGGTCAAAGAGTACAAACTTTTGGTTATAAGATAATAAGTTCTGGAGATAATAATATTCAGCATGGTAACTACAGTTAATAATATTGTACTGTATTATATACTTGAAATTTGCTGAGAGTAAGTGTTCTCATTCACACACACACACAAGATGTCAATTAGCTCGACTGTGGCAATCATTTCACAATGTGCATACACATATATCAAAACTTCAAGTTGTACACATTAAATATATACAATTTTTATTTGTCAATCATACCTCAATAAAGCTGAAAAAAATAAGAATAAAAACTCTCGATGCTGAGTCCCTTGTCCAGAGAATCTGATTTGACTGATGTAAAATCAAAATAAAATACTCATGCTTGGGTAGAATCTAAGCATGAGTATTTTCAGGGTATCAGGGAAGTAGTAAACTTACTAAAAAGTGTTTACGAGAAAGTGTAACATTCATATAGCAACATGCACAAATCTGAAGCATCCAGTTTAATGAAGTTTACAATTGAAAAATTCATTGAAAAACTCCATCCAGCTCAAGATATAGAATGTTATTAACACTCCAGAAGTCTCAGCACAGGATTTTAAAAATTAAACTTGAAAACAAAAATTAAAACTCTTCAAATTGCAAGAGTATAAATATGACCTCAGCAAAGTTATTTTTTAAGGCTTCTATTGTTAATTTTAATTTGCAGACAGAATTGATTGAATTTTTTTTTTTTTTTTGGCCACACTTCTGGTCATGGAAATCCTTTAGTAAAGCATGGGAATAAGGTTTTAATATTTACATTACTGATTTCCTAACAAGGTCGTTATTTCTCAAGGTGTTGTCAACATAAAAGATGATGTCAGCCTCTGACATTTAATTTTGTTGTGTTATCACTGTTTTTTGTAAATTTTCATGCATTGTTTATGATTCCCAACTTTCCCTCATTCCAGTTATATATGAATTAATTAGCCCTTGTAGCTATAAATAAGTAACATCTTAGGTGTACTTTGGAAAAAGGAAGGTGGAAATCATGCTTATTCTTTGTGGGTTGGCCACTGATTGACAGTAGCAAGGCAGGAGAGAAAATCTGGAACCATCCAGAGTTCAAGGGCAGGGATGTGTGAAAGGCAGAGTCAGAGGAACTGAATCCCTAGTGAGAAAATAAAAATAAAAGCAGTCATGCCTGGGCTTGGTGGACACATGCAGACTGCAGAGGCCAGTGTGAGTTATGAGTTTAAGAAGGCCAGGAGGTGAAATTCTGAGCTATATGATGGAAAGGGAGGACCAGAAAGGAGGCAGCCATAAACCATGGAGGCAAGGAGCTCCAGAGAGCAAGCTCGGCCAGACCCAGGGGGCAATGCTCTCATCAGAGGCTGAAAAGAGAAGAAGGCAGGCCCGAAGGTTGGCTAAGAAGGCATCTGAAAGAAGAAACACAAAGAGAAAGAGAGAGAAAAGAAGAACTTCGGCTGCTGTATAAATTTGCCAGGTTGAGCCCTGCCTGAGTAGCTGGCAGAGATGCTAAGTGGGGCAGCAATTCTGGCTACCTACCTGGAGCAGCCCTTATCGGAATGGATAGACTAGCAGTGAGTCTGGAGCCATGATGAGTAAAGCTGGATTCTGCATAACCTCTGCATTTCCTGTTCACCTCCTTAAACATAGTTCCTATAAACAATTCCTGAGTGGCTTTCCCACTTGAACCAGTGAGCTGAGTGGGGCGTGAGTTAGACACGGCTCACCGAGGAAGGTTCCGAGATTTCAAATTAAACAGAAAAATTTCCTTGAATTCCTTGGATGGTGGCAGAAGTCAAGCCTCATGGTGGATATGGGGACCTGCCTGTATGAGGGCATCTCTGGCCCAGAAATGACCAAAGAGTTTAAAAATGAAAAACCATCACTTGAGCTTGGCACCCTAAATTCAACCTACTTGTGTTCAGCAAAGAGAAGTTCTCTTCAGGTCAAGTAACCAATTCCTTGTATCTTGCTTTTGTTGTTGTTAAATACAATTTTGATTTTCACGTAACTTTTCAGGTTCATCAAAAGAAAGCATGTGACATGATTTTGTAACTCAGCATGTTAAAACTCAGTTAAAAAAATTATAATATACCTAAATACTAAAATCTATGTCTGATTTTAACAATGAGTCAACTTCACCAAGGTTGTTCCCTAACAGAACTGTTTTATAATGAAATATTACCCTGCTCTAAAGCAAAAGCAGAGAAATAAAAAATGAACAAAGAATGAGTTTTTGAAATTTAATTTTTTAGATTAGAGCAGAGGGTGAGTTTCTGAAGTCACATGTGGTATTAATTTATACAATATTCCTATTTTGCAAATTTTTGCCTGTTTGGGCACATGTACATGTGTACGTGTGTGTGTGCATGCACACACGCACACGCACGTGCACACACACACCAGAACTCTTCTCTCCCCTTTCCTGATATATTGAATTTGATTTCTGGATTCAACTGACCTTTCCCTGCATTTCACTGTTTGTAGATTAAGCAACTTGAAACTTTTGGCTTCTGAGGGGGAGTATTGCTCAGAAACATGCAACCTGTACAAGTATTCTGAGGCAGCAGGAGCAGTTAGAGCTCGGAAGAAACGTAGGAGGGGATCTGGGAGCATGGACAGGTGGAGTCATCTCTAAGGTTCTGCAAGTCGACAGACCATACACCAAGAGCTTTCCTGCTCCCATTCCAGTTCTGAGTTGCCAGAAGAGGTGGGGCTGAAATGGAGCTGAGCTTTGGACTGAGCCCACAGGAGTTGAGTAAAGGCACTTCTGTGTGTCTGATATCTTCTTGGGACTGCCATTATCAGTCCCAAGAACAACTATAAGTCATGTTGTCTTATATGCTGCTGCTGATCTATGGATCCTCCCACTTCCACTTAGGGTAGGAGAGACAGAGGGGAGAGGAATCCCCAGGGTTGACAGCACAGACGAAACAAATGAAAGAGATTACTTTAAAAACAGTAAAATGCAATAGTACATGAGGCTATGAGTATAGTAATAAACGATGTGTTGGTCATCGTCCATGGTTTCTGACACAGAGCTCCTAATTCCTGGGAATTTCCTGGGTAATATGAGCATCTTTTGTTCTAATGAGACAACTGTTGGTAGGCTCCTGGGTAGGGCTGGTCACCAGAAAGACCAAGCCATGATCATAAGCTTGGAGCTTTCAGCCCCACCCCCATCCTCCAGAAAGGGGAGAAGGGCTTGGGGTTGAGTTAATAATCAATCATACCTAATCAATCATGCCTATAGAAACCTCTGTGAAAATTCCTGAACTATGGGGTTCCAAGAGCTTTTGGGCCATTGAACACGTGGAGGTACTGGGAGGGTGGTGAGGCAGAGAAGTCATGGAAGACCCTCACTTCTTCCTGCATACCTTGTCCTGTGCTTCTGTTCACCTGGCTGTACACCTAATCCTTTGCCATATCCTTTATAATAAACTGGTGAATGAAAGTTGTTTCCCTAAGTTCTGTGAACCATTCTAGCAAATGATTAAACCTGAGGGTGGGGGGTGTGGGAACCCCCCTATGTATAGCTGGTTAGTCAGAAGTTTCAGAGGCCTGGACTTAAAATTGGCCTCTGCAGTAAGGGGCAGTCTTGTGGGACGGAGCCCTTAATCTGTGCCATTTGACTCTAACCCTAAGTAACATAGTGTCAGAATTGAGTTAAACTGTAGGACACCCAGCTATTGGAGGAGAATTGGTTGGTGGGAGAAAACAACCCACACATTTTGGTGACCAGAAGTGCTGTGAGCGCATAGTAGAGGAAAATAGTTTTCCTCCCTATTACATTCACATAACAAGAAGGCCATTTGGCAGTCTTACTTTATACAGTTCTCTATATAGAGATCTGTATCTCCTGGACACTGTGAAAAGCAGAAACATCATGATGAGTAGTTTTTCTCAAAGTGGCACTTAGAAGAGAGGAAGAAGATGGGAATGGAGCCTGAAGCAAAATGAAGTGACTGCCCAGCTGGTGCAAGGCCAGCCTCTTACCATAGTGTGGGATGATGGCCCAGGCCATGGCAGAGGCGTAGATGCCACCTATCATCCAGAACATGCAGAGCCAGCTCAGGTGTTCACCCCGCTTCTCCCGGGCCAGCACTTCAGCAAAGTATGAGAACACAGTGGGTATGGCTCCTCCAATCCTGCCAAGAGGTACAGAGAATACAGGAAATCAGGGTGAGGACAGCTAATGTGAGATGCAGAGGGTAGAGTCTAAGCTAACTCCAACAACGCATGCTTTCTCCCTCTCCCAGCATATCAACAGACATATATTCTCTATCATTTACAATGTAAAAATTATAGTCTCTGTTTAATATAGGTTTATTATCCCTCCAAAAACTTGAACCTGCAATTAAGCTATGTTACCAAAAGGTGGCAGTGGTGCCTGTCTCAGGTGGTTTGTTGAGCTTAACTTGAGATTCCCTTAGGCTTTCAGCTCAGGGTTGAATGTTTTATGTAATATTTATCAAAACTTACAATGATTTCCTATAGTCAAGTGAATATTTTAATTAGTACATTTTAAAAAAGAGATGCTATGCTATGTCCCACTCATGATGTGGGGACTTTGGAAACAGCTTCAAATACCTCTAGGGTGCTGTCTGCAATCTGTATTTACCCACTGCTACCCCACAGCAGCACTAAATTAGGTTAATGTATTGACAAACACAGGAACAATGGGGTCATTTCCAAGGTCAGCTCTGGTCCCAATCCAGCAGATATTACTGCTAAGTAAGTAAACATGAAAGGGACAGTTGTAGAATAAAATAAGGAGCTGCTGGTTTAGATATCAATAGAATGGAGAATAATGCTTCCTTTCAGTGGGGGCTAGTTATAAGAGCTGCTGGCTGAGCTCTGGGGAGATGACAGAAACAGTGACCTCTACTCAGGGTTAAGAGGGCTCAAATGAGGGTCTATGGAATCACAATAGTGCTCATTTCAAGGAGATGGGCCATAGATTTCATCAGAATTTCAAATAGGTCTTGGCCCTAAAACTTCAGGAATCACTGCCTCAAAAAGTAAGGTAGTAAAGAAAAATAATACTATCACTCTAAGCAATATGTAAATTTTAAAAGTATTTTTAAAAAGACACACAGCATAAGTATATTGTTGAGATAACACATAATTTAATAGAGTTAAGACGTATATACTGATTCATTTATGTTCAGATTTGTGTAAATTGCTACTGACATTTCATGTACATTTGATGTTAAGGAGTAAAGCATGTTTATTTATTTAGCAATAACTGATTTTCTTAGAGCCTTTGATATGATAAAGAAGTTTCCCTAAATTGCATTTGAAACAATTGGAAACAAATGCAATTTACGGAAAGGTCATTTTGGCAGCAAACTAGATGTACCAAATAAACCACAGGATTTAGAATGTCATCCGCATCACTGGTAAGTGAAAATACAGCACCATTTCATGCATTTGCCTCCGTTTAAAGTGATGCCGTAGTTATCCATCAGTGGACACAGGAAGACCACATAGGCCAGTGCTTTTTAATCTACGAGTTGTAAAATTTAGTTTAGTAGCCATAAACAGTAAATAGCATTTTAAAAAATAAGATAGTGACAAAAATATTTCAGTGCAACCTAAGCAATAAGGATAAGCATAAGTATCATTTCATGACATTTGTGTTATATTTGTAATGTATAATATACATATATAAAATGTATAATGGGTCACAGTGTGTTTCTTAGTGGGAGTTCCTTTTCAAAGAGTTTAAAATTCCCAAACTTAAGGCATCTATATCTGTTTCTCTGGGCTATGACAGAGATGGTTCTACCTAAAACCCCTAGAGGTGTGGCTCAACCTGTTCAGATTTAGCACCATCACACACAGAGGCAGCCAACTAAGTCCAAGTCCATAACCAAACCCTCAAACAAGACACAAATGCATGTGGTGGGTGCTCAGAGCTGGCTCTACACTGCACCATATCAGACTCATATGCATTTCTTGCCTGGGCTTCTTGAGGAGCTCATACAACAGATAGCTAGTTGAATTTTATTTTATTTTTATTTTTTGATGGATTGCAGAAATGTATTAAAATTGGAAGGCATCATTTAATTAATCTTTTGTGCCATGAGACTACATTGGGCTGTCTACAAGATCAGTGGGAGGCTGGAGATTGAGCCCAGGAGTTTGAGGCTACAGTGAGCCGTAAAGGACCACTGCACTCCAGCCTGGGTGACAAGAGTGAGACCCTTTCAAGGGGGAAGCTGCATGCTTGCTTGCTACCTGTGATCATTCAAAGCCCTGAAAGCAAAGATAATATATTAATTACAACAAAAAAAAAGTGCATGATGCTTGTTAGTACAGTAAGCTACTTGAATTTTAAAACTCAACAATATTTTGAACAGATTTTAAATGGTTTCATTGTAACACACAATTCTAGTGTGAAATAAAATGTCTGTGTCACAAATCATTTAATGCTCCTCCTTTTTTTTCATTTAATGTGAAGAATCCATTTCTTTGTACCATAAAATCTCAGTTCCCTACTCTGTGGCTTCACCTCTCAATGCATAAAAATAGTCCTAGTTTTTACTGACTTCTCACATCCTGATTAATGTTTCATCAGGACTCTGGACATTCTGTTAAAAGCTATAACTCACACTTTGTGAAGGTACAATTGTATGTCAGGATATGCCAGCCCCCTCTGGACCAAGATTAATGTACTCCAGTGTGTCTATAATTTTTCTTTCTTTTTTTTCTCCCTCCCTCCCTCCCTCCCTTCCTCCCTCCCTCCCTCCCTCCCTCCCTCCCTCCCTCCCTTCCTTCCTTCCTTCCTTCCTTCCTTCCTTCCTTCCTTCCTTCCTTCCTTCCTTCCTCCCTCCCTCCCTCTCTTCCTTCCTTCCTTTTTCCATCCCTCCCTCTCTTTCTTCCTTCCTTCCTTTCTCTCTTTTCTTTTCTCTTCTCCTCTCCTCTCCTCTTCTTTCTTTCTTTCTTTCTTTCTTTCTTTCTTTCTTTCTTTCTTTCTTTCTTTCTTTCTTTGCAGTGTGGCTATAATTTCAAGTGGAAGACTATAGATTTGCCTGTTAGTTTTAAAAAAATTGTTACATAAGAAAATAGGGGCTTCTAGGCAATCCAGCTGGTTTATATTCAATGCCTCTTTTTCACGTGGTTATTTTGGCTGGGTGTCTCTCAACATTTGTTTGTAAAGCGGGCTGCAAGGAACTCTAATACTAAGGGATAAATGAGTCTGAAGAATCAGAGAAGGCTTTTATTTAAATCCTTTGCAAAGTTATTTAGACTCAGCGATATATAAAACAATCTAAACATTCACATTTCTTATTGTGGGCTGATAATCTGTTTTGGGGGAAATATTACTCCTTGTCCTACTGTGATATCCTTTAAGCAGAGAAAAACTATTACTATTATTAGTGTTTCACACCCCATAAATCCCTTGAAGGTAGGGACTGCATCATATTCATTCTTGAGTCCCCATTACCTGGCCCAGTGGACATGTGTTAAGTGTTCACACAGAAGAACTGAATTTCAGACTCTTCAGTGTTGTAGTTGGCATACCAAGTCTCCTGGAGTAATTTATTCTGACGATTTAAACATCTCCAGTGAATAGAAACACACACCTCACTTTCTGAACCAATATGACCATAACAGACATTGAGGATGCTGGACTGAAAGTTTTGATAGCAATGAAGCCCCCAAAAAGTTCGTGAGTTGCTCAGTTACTATGGTCATCCCTTGACCAAATGACCTTGTCATTTGGTCCTTGTCATAGGAACTGCTCAGAGGACACAGGACAATCCCAATGGGCATCCCAGGAGCTTCTATAACGCCTGTAAGCATTTCAGAAAGAGATTGCAGATGCTATAATTATCATCAATAAAAATATTTAGGCAAGAGATGAAGCAAGAGCTTTCAGGTCTTACAACATAATTTAGTTCCTCTGATAAGTTTTGAAGATAAGAAAAAACTGCCACTTCCTAGCCCCCAAATCTTATAAATTAAAAAGAAGTTTCTCATTATGATTCTATCTTAATATTGTATGTTAAGGGTTAAAAATTTCCTTCGTTTGTTTTTTGTTTATTACACTAAGATACAATTTCCGAGACTACATGAAGAAATACAAAATTTAAATGAAAGCCCTTAAATCCCCATGTATTGGTGGGTCTTAAATAAAGATGGTTTTGCCCCTCTATGTTCCCTGCAGATATCTGGCAATGTCTGGAGACCTGTACATTGTCATACCTTGGGGGGTGCTGCTAGTATCTAGTGGGTAGAGGCCAGGGATGCTGCTAAACATCCTTCAATGCACAGAACATCTCCCCACAAACAAGAACTACCTAGTCCGAAATATTAACAGTGCTAAGATCAAGAAACTTTTGTTATGGGGGCCTAACGTAGAAAACAGAATTGGTTTTATATAAAAATCCATAATAAGACACAGAAATATCTTTTACATTACCTGATGGGTAACACATCCTTAAATCCAGTTAACATGGGGAGCTTATCATTTGTTATATGATGATCAGTTAGCTACTGTTGAAATCTGCTCAAGTTCATTTTTTTTTCAAGTTATATTTAATGGAATGTTTACATAAATGAAGCAATGAGATCAGAGTGGCTTATGAAGAATTTTTCTCAGTATTGGATATTAAGTCTATTTTAATGGTGTCAAAAATGTAAAATCTTAATTATCCTTGGTAATAGGAGGCACCGAAAAAATAATAACTGAAATTCACACTCTATATAGGTGTGAGATTAGCCAGATTCAAAATAATTTAATTTATACAAATGAAATAGAATGTTAATATTTAGAATTTCAGAGTTGGGGTTATTCCTTAAGTAATATCAGTTCTAGGATTTTGCAACTTTAATTGCAGAAATATAAAGAAACTAAAACATTCAGTATCAAACAATTCCTAGAATGAATCAGGACCTCCCCAGTGCACAGGCAAACAGACACAGACACACTCACACACACATGCATAACACCTCAGTAGCCCTGCTAGTATATCACTCAATAGTAGGCATCTGGTAAATATCATGAAACATGTTCATCTATTTTCCTCAAAAAAAATCTAAGGCAAATTCACACGTGGTATATTGTGTAAGGCAAAGAATGTGTTAGCATTACAGACAAAATTTCTCCTCTCTTGGGAAATGTGAGGCACACAAGTTA